AAGGACCCTATTGGGAGTTGCTCTCTCACAAGGTAAAGATTAGCTGCCCCGTAATGGACGTTGTTGATGATGAATCCCAATTTTTTCAGAGAGAGTGAGAATGAGTTCGACTGATAGAGAGTTAGAGCAAGTTCAGATGTTTAAGAGAGAGAGAGAGTGAAGATGATAGCTGAGAGAGATGCGGAAGTAAGAATGCGCACAAGCCAAAATTTTTAGATTTTAGAACCCGTGCAAATTAAATTTCCACGGTTTAATATTTTCTTAATAAAAAATGAGGATGTGTTGCAACGGTTAAATTAAAAACCGTCTGAATAAATTATATTTAAGCCACGGCCAGGAAACCATGGCCAGGCTGCAAACAAAAAATGGGAATATTGCCACAAATGGTATATTTCGTTGTTAAATATAGTATTTTAGCCATGGTTTTTGGTCTGTTGCTAGAAAAACTGTGGTTAAAAATGGTTTTTCTTGTAGTGACCCTATTGGAAATAGATCATTTTGATTATGATTCCAAGGGATTTTGATTTTAATTCTGATTGTGAACCAAACGGACCCTTACCATTTTTCAAGAGTAAGATATTGAATCAAGTAGCATTTCTCAGATATCATCAACCACTTATGACTCTCTCGGCTTAACATCAGAATACTTCAAACCCCTGAGTTACTAAATTAGATAGACAATTCTCTAGTTGCTCCTACTTGTTGATATATGGAGTTTTAACTATGACGATGTTTGGAAAGTTTTTTTCGTGTTAGGAAGATCGAAAATTAGTCCTTTTCCATTTTGTAATCAAAAGCTGGAAAGATTAGAAGACGCATGCACAAAAATTCCCAAAAAGACTGAAAATGTTGAATTTTGGGAAGATTCAAATGAAACTTTCTGATCTTTCAATGTGATAAATTGCCTCTAAACGCGTTTTTAAAAGTCTAATAGATCGAGTTGCTTACCAAACAATCTTTATCTTTAAAGATAAGACCCTAAAAGCTCAATACATCTTTTATAAAATTGAAAATACATATAAAATTATAAATTCAAAATAAATTATTAAAAGTTAAAATAATAATGAAAATAGTAATAAAGTCCATGAAGCAATGAAAAAAAATTAATAATTAGCAAATTAATATCTTAAAACTATTAAAATATTTAATAATTAATACAAATTAATAAAAAATAAAAAAAAGTATTTATTAATATCTTAAAACTATTAAATACAAATTAATTATAAAAAATAAAAATAAAACTGGAAAGTAGAAAGACAGGGGAGAGGGTATTAACCGCCGTTGCTGATAGTTGTAGTGGTGGTGGTGGGAAGATAGGGGAGAGAGACCAATGAAACCAAACTCTATGCCCCATCGGAAGAAGAAAATGGGAGAACAAAAAGCAAAAATCTATTCTAGCGATCAAACCTGTCGGAACCCTAAGGAGAAAAAAACACAATGTCCACTTAAAAAGTCTATTCTAGTGATCAAATGGTTTTTTGGTGATTAACTAAGAGCAAAAATCTCCATTTCTCTCTCTCTCTGTTGCCACAGTTGTTGGCGTCAGCAAAAATGTGTTAGTAAATGAGTCTCCGATGGTCGTCGGGAGAACAAAATATGGATCGTCGGGAGAACGATAACCTAGATCACTGGGAGACTTGTCCAATGCATCACTGATGGTTAGGCGTTCGTTGGTCGGGCAATGTAGCAAGTCCCTTTGTCATTCAAGAGCTTGAATGAGAAAAAATTTGGTTTTAAAAAGGGACATGCATTGTCTATTTGAATATTATCAGGGGCATTTTAGACTTTTGGACACATCTGAAATGTGCTTGAGCGCGTTCAGTGATGACTCACAGTCTAAACATTTCAACATTTCAGATCAACTTTCATATATATATATACACCCAAACGCTACTGGAGTCTGAAAAGTAATATTTTCAAATTTTAGACCTTTTAAAAATATTATCAAACGCCACCTTAATCTTCTAAGAATATAAAGGTCAAGTTATTATGCAAATTATCATTAATTTGTTTCTGCCAAAATTTGTAACAATTAGGAATGGAGGATTTGCGAAGCCACAATCAATTTGCCCTGAAGCATATTGCTGACATGGCGGAGACCATTACTCTCAATTATTCAGTCCATGAAGCTCTACCATGGATGTTAATTATCAATTTATCACAAGCTGGATTAGTGGATGAAAGATAATTTTACATAGGAATTTAAGCCACATAAAAGCCATAATGTTTTGGGCCTACATGGGCTCATTTACACAAGGTATTTTGTCACATATTGCTGCGACTCTACATGCATTTTCTCTTTACAACGAACACCGCAAGAGAGTGGTTTAATTTGCTCCTGGTTGGGATTACTAGCTCTTGACCCAGGTGTTGAAAATCAGACCGGATTGGATGGTTGGACCAGTTGATTTGGAAATCAATCAGGTAATCGGTTCTATTTCACCTTAAAGCTGTTCTTTGGCCAAAAATTGTTGGCTTGGTTAGCAATTTATTGACCCGAGTGGTCGAACTATTGACCTGCTGATCCGGATAATGGTTTTTGACTTTTTTTTTATTTTAAGTATTTTCTTACTTTTTAAAATCATAACAGGTCATCCACTCAAATTGAACAGTCAAACCTTTTGACCCTGAAATTGGTGGCCAAAACCAAGGTTTTTAAAACCGACTCGAACAACAAACCGGTTAGGGGTTTGGTTCTCGGCTCGAACGGTTGGCCCATTCTGACAAAAAATAAAAAAAATGAATTAAAAAATAAAAAACGGTCAAAACCATTGAATGGTTCGAACGGTTCAACTGCCCGGGTCAGTGATTTGCTGATCAAATCAACGTTTTTTTGGCAAAAATCCGGTTTTGGAGAAAAAAATGGAACCAATCACCTGACTGGTTTCCAGTTTTTCCAATTCGACCATCTGGTCCGATCTGATTTTAAAAACCATCGCCAAAATGGTTTCATCTCTGGTCCAATTTTTAATTGATAAACGTTTCCTACAAATTTGTCTCAAAAATAAAAAATCAAGATAAATTTGTTTTAAACATTTTCTTTTACAATTTAGTGCGAGTAGGTGACATTAAACACCACATGCATCAAACAGTGAAAAGATGCTTATGATAAAAAAAGTTTATTTTTAAAGTTTTTCCGATAAAAGGTTTTCACATAACCCAAGAGAAACGTTTATCAATTTAGCGCTGAGTCGACACTGTTCTCCAAAAACCGCCATGAACACGCTACACTTCATTTACCGTGTCCATGTTTAATTCGCTTTTGACAGTCTGGTGGCAGTGGGATAGATCCCAGGTCTCTATTTCGACGAGTCACAGAGTTGATCAGTTGGCTTTTATAAGCGTTTGATAAGAGTTGATTATAAAGCATACGATTAAACAAATGGACCATCCATGTGACGATGAAACAAATTTGTAGGACAGGGGGTGATGATTTAGTGCTTAGGCTCTGTGTTCACCGGGTGTGCCTACCAGATTCGGACCAGGATAAGATAAGCCATACGAGAGAGAGAGGGTGAGAGGTGGATTACGGCTCTATCAAACTTGTGTTTAAGAGAGAAACACGTGGCATTATGAATAGTGGAATCAAAGTATAATCGGTGGTTCCACCCACCCGTTACCCGTAACGTCTTTTATTTTTTTTCCCTTTTTAATGGGTTACTGCTTCCCAATTTCATTGTCAACATCCAAGACCAGAAAATATAAGATGCTCTAATCCCCCAAATACCCTTACGAAATATATCTAATTACCTCCGAATAACTCCTTTTGAAGCGGAACCCGGAAACAAACTTGAATTTGACTGATGACTAAGCCAATAACTGAGTGACCACTTAGAAGGGATGATAATTGGGCGGGTTTGGGGTAAGGATTGCAATTTCCACTCTACCCTGCGGGTATTTTATCTCAATGGGGTGAATTTTTTTTGTTCAAAAAATAGATTTTAAGGCAGGTATGGATTTTGGGATTTTACAACCTTGATACCGTAGGTTATTAGGTTAAACCTGACCCTCCCCAACCTGCATATTATTGAGAGGCATGTGAATTTATGTATTAGGTATTGCATTTAATAATATTTTGAATTTTATGTAAGGATAATTGGTAGGATTTCGATGCTTGTTTATGTTATTTTATTTGTTTATTGCTTATATATATCAAGAAATAATAAAAAATTAGAAACGGGTTCTAAACCCAACCCAACCCAACCCATCCACCCTCAAATACATGAAGAATAGGATTGGAGAGGGTTTTGCATTTTCATATGTGGGGGAGAGTTTGAACTTTGAAAATCCAACCTATTACTACTTTTGGGGAGGGCATGGGTTGAGAGGTCAGGGAGGTGGGTAATGTTTCGAATTTACAAAACTCTCCCTGAACACACTACATTGCCATCCCTAGTTTTTCTGTTTTTTTTTTTTTTGGGGGGGGGGGTGTAAATTCCAAAAGTAATTGTGAATTGGAATTTTAGAATCCAAACCCCTTTTTTACATGAAAATGCAAAACCCTTCCCACATTTGAGGGTGGGGCAGATCATATTGTTGGATTCAATTCAAAGCACACATCTAATTTCATATTATGTATAAGTAATAAACAAGTAAAATAATATGAACAAACATCAAAATTTTCAATTATTTGATTAAATCATATAAAAAAAACATATAAACTATCATTAATCCTCGACATAAAATTCAAAATATTATTAAATTTAACATTTAATACATAAATAATAATAAGTGAATTGGGGAGGGTTGGGTTTAGCTAAAATCCTAAAACCCATCACCACCCCCAAAAAAAACCATTTTTCAAGCAAAAGAAAAAAAAAAGAAAAAAATGTGAACAAGAGTTGGTGGAGGGTGGAGGAGGGAAAGGCGTGTGAAATGTGAATGATTCATGATAGGGGCATTATGGTAAATTAATAAATGCTGAGGAGTTTATCTCCGTCGAGGGTGAGATAAAGTATTTGTGTGACTGTGTGTCCCGTCTAATTACTCCCTCAGTCCTCAACCTCCTCCTTCCCATCCTCAGAAAATAGTGACGGCAAGCAAATTGCCTAGGAATCAGGGATATAGTTGGAATTTAGTAGCTGGGTCAGACTTTGTATATCCTTCTTTCTTCTCTCTCCGTTATTTTTCTGCTATTTAACACAAGCCTGATCATTCGCCATTTTCATTCCTCAACTTTGGGAATATTACAAGGCTACGGATTAAAGCTTCGGAAGTACACGATCTGCGCACTCTATCTATCTATCTATCCGTCGCTGAGGTAAGTTGATTTACTTTTTTAAAATTTTCCTTCTCGTTTTCTTTTGTATTCAATTCGTCGTTTATAGAAATCGGTAGGATGTTCACAAAAAACACGATCATGATGATCATGCTTTTCTTTTGTCTCTTCATTCATGTCTCCTCCTCTGCAATCCGATATCTGAAAGATCAATATATTGATATTCAAGTAGAACTGAATAGAATTCTATTCATCTTCTCCTTCTGTGAATCATTTGAGCCTGAAATGATCGATAAATAATTAAATAGTGAACATTTTCACTACTCTTTTCTTGAATTGAGAAGGAAATCAATGCCTTCTCAAGAAGAAAAAGAAAAAAAGAGGATCGCTCATACAAAACATTACAGTGTATTGGAGCTTGAAATGATCACTATCAGTTTTGCTCTTTGGAACTGCCGGCTTAACGCCAACGCTATATTGGTGATTGCCTGATTGGTGAATCAACACTGCGATCTTTTACATATTGTGATTTCATCTTCTGACAATATGTAAAGAAAAGAAATGAACACAAATCTTCCTGTCCTGGTTTTTGAGACTGTTGTCGTTTTTTTAAGAAAATGGCGCATGTCAGAACCACACGCATTTTTAACATATTTTGGTTAATCAGTAACCCCTTATATATATATTATTTACTAATTAGTCCAAGATTGAAAGGTTGTACTTTAATGGCCATAGAATTATAGAAATTAGCCAGCACTGTTAGATCCCATTCTCTCTGCCTACAATAGAAAAAAGGCGTGTCAACAATATTCTGTTGTGGGCCTCTTGTATTTTATTACTGGGTGTGGAGTGAGTTTGCATTTGTGCTCAGTATGCAGGGCGAGATGTGATCTTATTACGTTATACTAATCATGAAGTTTAGATCACCGCATATTCCAACACTCTATCAAACACTACATTACGGTAGATGAACGGTGTCACATCAAGATCATAGGGTGTTACCGTGTTAGTACGTATTTTCTTTCGGTCCCACTCTCGAGAGTTCTTCTCATAAGTGATACTAGACCCGCCCTCATCCTGGAGACTGCGTTATACTCCAAGAATCTGGTGAAGTCCAGGTCTTATACTCTTATTGATAGAACTACTCGAAATCACGTTGCAGCGTGAATGTGGACCAACCGGACCCAATTTGCACATGGGTCGTGGGAGTTTTATAAACTGTGTTGAACTGTTTTCTTTCTAAATTGGATGGATGGTCTGGCCGTCTGGGGATTGGGTTGCATTCGGGGGTTGAAATTAGGAATGCAACTTGGTCTGGGTTAGCCCGAATTCAAGCCAAAAAAAGTCAAGTTGGATTGGGGCAGTTGAAGTTTCGGTTCGAGTTAAAGTTTCAATTATAATTGTGTCTTATCATATCAGAACCGAAATTCCTTATTAATAATTAGGTTGGTTTTGGGTCTGGTCTGGTCCAAGTAATGGTAGACCTGGTCCCGATAAAAAGGAGACCGGACCAAACCCAGTGATAGGGCCCATTATGTAGCGGGCCTTTTGATATTCGATCTGCTATTGGATATGGGCATTTTCCCTATGTTTGTTGACTGGATCTTCTTTATGTTCGAGTTTCAAATATCTATCAAGTAGATGGCGTTGGGCTTGGCTTTATACTGTTTTGGGCCTGGGCTTTGGACTGTTCCCATTTGGTTAAATCCAAGTTTCACAAACCCATATAACAACAAAAATGTTAAATTGAAATGAAGAATGTATGTCTGTGCAATAAATATTACATTGACTTACTATAGAATATTAAGAATTAAGTTGTAAAGAAATTAAAGATACAATAGTATTGCCTATACGTTATGTTTTCAAAACAATTGTTGGATTGGACTATGATACCTGAAAGATATGATACTGGAAAAATTTACGGCCAATCAATAAAAGGTGAACAATCAGGTGATATTCATCAAAATGCCAAAAAGATAAAAAGTCATGATATGGAAAAGGCTTTGACCAATTACAATTCTCCATAAATTTTAGCTAAAGCTCACCTAACTGATTGGTTGTAAGCTTTTTTAATATCATGACTTTCTAGCATCGTAGTCGAACCCTTCATTACAGGATGCTTTGATTGGACAAAATTCTTGTGCACCGTGTCTTTCCGGGTATAATAGATTTTCCCTTGTTTTTTTATCCTTTTTAGTATCCCACAGTCCCACTCCAAACAAATGAAATGAAAAATGGAAAATTATTTGTTATTAGAAGGGTTAAATATACGGTTTATGACTTTATGCATGGATGGCTCAGCTGTTTCATCTGTTTCATCTGTTCTGTTTTAAGCAGAGAGGAGTGGGATCAGGAAACAAAGTGGAAATGTCTACGGTGATCAAAGGTATGCTTGTAGGGTCCATCCCCGACGTCTACAATCAAAGGCATCATCTGAAGGACAAGAACATGGAACACACCGGTTTGCAGCCCACAGAAAGTGGTTTCTCTGTTAGCTTCCACCGGCTGGGCTTGAACTCGGCTCAAGACAAACGCATCATGATTAACCCCCGATTCCCATACTCGAAGGTTAAGAGATGCGTGGCGCCACTCCGAAGCCGATACCGACGCCGAGCCGTCCTGACTTCCGAGCCAATGCCGACTTCTGAGCCAAAGCCCACCATTATTAAGAAGGTACATAGTTGAGCTTATATGTTATGTTACTTATATCAACTACAATTCTACAAATAAATAAAGACGTATTTTTCGAAAATAAATAAATAAATAAATAAATAAAGACGTATAAAAAAGAAACATAATTGTAGGATTAAGGTGAAGAGACGTGGCAATTGGCATACGTATCTTGTCTGCCTTTGTCCAATCAGAATTTATTGGGTACTTGGGCCACGTGGAATCTTGAACGACCATTTCCCATTTGTGAATAGGGTGAGGGTCCTCTTGATGTTCAGCATTCACTGCGTAAGAAATTTGTAACTTGTACCTCTAGGTGTTAGAGTTAACGAGTCATGTATACACGGGTAGGGGTGAGCATGGGGTCGATTAGGTTCAGTGTCAAGGAAGAACCTGGAACCTATTTTATAGTGATCATTTTCATGTTTTTGAAATCGAAAATTATCCTATCAAAATCAGATCTGGGGTTGGTTTTAGCTTGGTGGTATCGGGATCGATTCCAAGAACTTGTTCTTAAAAAAATTAACATATTCTTTAAAAATTTAATAATAATATTAATAAAATAGTTCAAAACTTATTATTATAATTAAATTTTGTGATATCTTTTACATTAATTATTATACACATTCACATATTAAAATAAAGATAAATGATCAAATCACTTAAGGGATTCAATGGTCAAGTGTAACCACGAGTCTAAATCTTTACATCCTCAAAATATATTGAGATTTATTTCAAGACAACTTTAATTCCAAGACCAGTTCCACGAAGACCAATCGAGGTTGATTCTTTAAATTGATTTAAGGTAAACCTTTAAACCTTGGAACCAGCCTAGGTGGAGGAACCTTATTGGGTAACAAATTGGATAGAACCGGTTTAAGATCAAATTCATTCAGTTTCAGATACAACTTACCCATTTGCTCACCTTATATATGATGTGTAATTATGAAGATTGCCTACAAGCTGAACACACTATGTGGGTACTTGTGCCACAATTGTACGATTGGTATCATGATTCATGAAGGTATTTATTACCTATAGCCTGATAGTCGTAGGTAATGTGGTCTTTCTTTCATTTTTAATGGCTGCTTCATCTAACTTTATTATAATAAGATGTGTCTTCATTTGGGTTTTGATCATTCTTGTTTGCTTTTAATTTGCGCACAACAGCGAGTGTTTACTTTTGGCAAGGGAAGGAGCGAAGGAAACAAGGGCATGAAATCATTGGTAAGTAATCCTCTTCTTGTAGATAAACATTATTGTAACAAGACTGGTGTATACTTGACTTATATGCATTGCCTTACAAACTGGAAATTATGAAATCAGACGTCATTTCTAGCATCCTGCACCCCTAGTGTGAGTTCGCAATTGACGATAACATTCTCCCATAGAGGTTGTCAATGGATCGGTTCTAGCTGATAGAATTGAACCGATCATATCAGCTCTGATTCTGTGGTTTGTGTCTTGATTAATAATTGAATTCAGATTGGTTAGTATAGTTGGATTTAATGGCTCAGACCCGATTAGCACGATTAATAGTCAGTCTGGGACTGGTCCATTTTATAGATTAATAATGGGGCTACGTATAATTGGATCTTAAATCAGGTTCTATTTTGTAGAATTAATAATCAGTTGAGATTGGTCCATCCTGTCTGGAATCAGACCCGATCTATAGATAGCTTTATTCTCCCGATGAAAGTAATGGGATTGGACAATGGGATTCACCTTTCGGCAATTCAAAAAGTTAGGTCAGTGTGGGTCTTAACTCCGAAGTCCTAGGAGGACAAATTTGAAAGCTTGAAATTCCAAGGCCGTGATTTCACTGTTTTGGCCCAATATACATTTTAGTGGAGTAAACTGATTTACTCCCAACTTGAAATATACCAGACTACTGTACAAGTGTGGTAAATATCATACATAAGAGCTTTTATTAATGCGTCATCACCTTTTCACTTGTCATTCATCCGTTAATGTGATTCCTGTACCTTGTCTCCTAAATAATCTTTGTATTGCAGTTGGGTGGGAAAGGAGCAAACCTTGCAGAGATGGCAAGCATTGGGTTATCTGTACCACCAGGTCTCACAATATCAACAGAGGCATGCCAAGACTACCAGCAGAATGGAAAAAAATTGCCAGAAGGCCTGTGGGAGGAGATATTAGAGGCTTTGAAGAGCGTGGAGAAGGAAATGGGAGCTTTTCTCGGTGATCCTTCTAAGCCCCTCCTCCTCTCTGTGCGATCAGGAGCTGCGGTAAGCGTCTCATGTATGATCTATCTAGTTGGGTTGCTTTAGTGGAACTAAACAAATACGAACATTCCACGTGGCAAGATGGTAGGGTACCACATATTTCTTGTCAGCATCATCACCATTCACTCGGAGGCCACTGTGGAACTTTCTATGCTGAACAAAGCCCGTTCAATTTCGGGATTGAACTGGTTTTGAGAGTAATGTTTAGTGCACTAAATGATCCATTATTGGATTAATTGGGAATTACTAATTAAGAGTATTCTTTTGTTCTTTCATGTAGATATCCATGCCTGGCATGATGGACACTGTCCTTAACCTTGGTCTCAATGATGAAGTGGTCGCTGGTTTGGCTGCGAAGAGCGGAGAGCGCTTTGCTTACGACTCATACAGACGTTTTCTAGACATGTTTGGAGATGTTGTAAGTGATGTCCATGGATGCACGGAGTTCATAGACATATATTAATCATTTTATTTGCAAAGCTAATCAATAGTTCTTTATTTATGTATTTAGCATTCACAAACATTCTAAAATTGATGTTTTTATTAAGTGGGTTTCTGTTAATTCTCTCACTTGTGTTGTTGCATTTTTGTGTTTGTCTAATTGCCCAACTAAAGGTCTTAACTAATGTCTTCTTTACCTAGTATTTTATCTGAGAGTTGCAAATTCACGTACGAAATGTCTGAGAGCTACATGAAATCTAATTATTTGGTCTTAGTTTTCATTGCATTTGAAAATTCACAATATTATTACAACAAAAGAAAAAGGTCATCAGTTCCAGTTATTAGAAAAAGGAGAGCGGAAATGAATTCATTGCTTGAAATCGTCAAATTATCTCATTTCCATCTTTAGTTTGCAAGATTGAACATTTGTTGATTCATATGCAACTGAAAACCACAATATTGAAATTCCAACAAGGTGCATCTTGTTCTGAATTGCCTTTATTTAATACTTCACCTAATTGTTATAGCCTCTGTCTTAACCTTATCTAATTGTTCCATGATTGGAGGTCATGGGCATTCCACACTCATTATTTGAGGAGAAGTTAGAAAACCTGAAGACTACAAAAGGAGTTCAACTTGACACTGACCTAACAGCTGCTGATCTTAAAGAGGTTGTGGCACAATACAAGAAAGTCTACCTCGCAGCCAACGGTGAAGAGTTTCCTTCAGGTACCTCTCTCTAAGGCTAATTCCATTCAGCCAAATAGTCTTGGTGTAGTTCTATTATTTTTTGTAAGGAGTATGCAAAAACTTATATTAGTTGCTTGCCTGTATCTGCAGACCCAAAAAAGCAGTTACAATTAGCTGTCAAAGCAGTCTTTGATTCCTGGGACAGTCCGAGGGCCATCAAGTATAGGAGCATCAACCAAATAACTGGATTGAAGGGAACTGCTGTCAACATTCAATCTATGGTTTTTGGAAACATGGGGAAAACTTCTGGAACAGGTGTTCTCTTCACTAGGAACCCAAGCACTGGGGAGAAGAAGTTGTATGGTGAATTTCTTATCAATGCTCAGGTGCACAAAATCTTATTTCCATCCTAGTCTTTCTTGTTTATATAAATTTGGAGCATCTTTCCTATTGGATTTATTGTTGAGTGATCTGATAGTTAAACTCATGGGGAAATCGTGGCTTTTATTTATGCAGGGAGAGGATGTAGTTGCTGGAATTAGAACACCGGAGGACCTGGACACCATGAAGCAATGCATGCCTGAAGCTTATAAGGAGCTTGTGGAAAACTGTAAAATTCTGGAGAAACACTACAAAGATATGATGGTAAAATATTTCAGTACGAGATCCTTCTTTACTGAGTTGATGACTTCTTATTTTAAGTGTTCCATTGGGATCTAAATCACATATTTTCTCTTAGTTTGCAGTACATGCCAAACTAGTATTTTAGAGAGGGAATGTGCTTCATGTGTTTCTGAGATTTTGTCAGGGCAATACTTTAGAAAAATCATAAAGGGTGACATGCAAGCCGACAATTATTTAGGGAACTATGACCCAGGAGGCATATTAATATCAGTTTTGCTTCAAATTACCACCTTGTGAAAAATAAATAAATAATGGTACCTTGATACTAGGGATCTAAGTCACACTTTTCTTCTCAGTTGGAGAAAGGGAACTATGTACTAGCTCCAACATGGCTTTCAAGTTGCTTTTGAAGAAATGAATCTTTTATACTCAGGTTTATGGAATAATAATGATTGTGAGCTCAAGGGTAAGTTGCAAAAAATTAGATGGCATCCATTACGGGTATCTAGGAAAAAAGTATCAGCTTGCATGCCAAGGTAATAACATCCAAACATTTGATTTATGCAAGTAAAAGAACAAAGTAATAACATAATAAAAAAAATCTTTTTTTTTTAGAAAAACATAATTAACAAATTCGACAACAGAGGAAAAATTCTTTAGTTAAGGCTAACATTTTGATTCATTTACAGTATTTAAAATTGGTTATAATGCTAATAAATGGACCAAAAAAGACATGACATTTACTCTGTAGGTTGCAGGCTTTAAAGGAAAGCTTGTTGTGATGGAGACTTACTAGTGTTTTAAAATTCCTAAACAATTTGAACATTATAAATAAATATGAATTTAAATAACTTCAAAAAGTATCTATTACTGTTTTTTGTTTCTTTGACTGAAACGTTGTTGCTGATCAGAAAATCAGGCACATGGGTTCTATATACGGCAAGCCCCAAGGAGTACAATCTGCAATTAATGCATCCTGCATTTTTTGAAACAAGACCAATGGGATTTGGATTTAAGACTGTAAGGAGGCACCTTGACCTTGATGCCAATAAATTTCATGTCCTTCAATTCAGCTTAAGACAAGCCTAAAAGTGTAACTTCATGTCTCTTAAGAAATTGTTGAACATAACAAGAGAATTTTATATTTGAAATGCTGCTCCCCTCCCTCCCTTAATTTTTAGTATCTTGATGCTAGGTTCATCTTCAAATTGGGACATGAAGTCACGTGACTATATTGCTAAGATATTTTTGACTAATTATTGATAGTTTGTTATGTGGATATTTTCCTTTTAGTTTTAGATAGCTTCTACTACTGAGATGGTTTTCCATTTATGATCATAGGATATCGAATTTACAGTTCAAGAAAATAGGCTGTGGATGTTGCAATGCCGATCAGGGAAGAGAACTGGAAGAGGTGCTGTAAAGATTGCAGTTGACATGGTTAAAGAAGGTCTTGTTGATACTCGTTCTTCTATTAAGATGGTGGAGCCACAACATCTTGACCAACTTCTTCATCCACAGGTATACATACTAAAACGAATTGGGCATGATATAAAATTAATAACACCGACACTGACCTTCTAACTTGTTTTAGTGGATACTGACTCCTACCATAATTATCACCTATTTTAGATTACTTGTTCATTTAGGAGGAATTAGTACAGTAGTGGTGGAATGTAACTGAACTTCTTGGACTGAGAACACCATCGTAACCCTGGGTGCATGAAGTTAATACACATTACTCTTTTGTGTATCTTATTCTGTTTATAAAATCACATTGCCTTATAAATTATGATAATCCTATGTTTATATGCATGTTTTGAAACACGAGGTTTCCCAGATGCACTCATGCACATACAGTTAATGATACAATTAGCATCGTTTTATTAATCCCTATGTCCATCCACATGAGTGGCATCTATACACTTGGTTCATCTGATCAGGCGGCTTATTAGACTTTGGTTAAAACCCTGGCCTAACTTCAAAATCTATTTGAGGTGAGTGACCTGAGTCAAATCTCATTCAGAGTGGATTGGGATTCATCGGCTTGGGGTTATGTAGCTATAAAAATTATTTTTTTTCGCCAGTGTTAATGAACACAGACACATGAATCAGAATCTGACACCATGTTTGGGAGTTTGACTCGGCAAGAAGAATTAGGAAGCTTACACCTATTGAGGAGGCTTATGCTTCCTTGTGCTGAAGTAACACCGTTTGCATTCTGAACTACACCTCATACCTTAACATCTGGACAGAAGAATGTGTTCAAATAATCTAATTCTTAATTTTCCTGGATCAGTTTGAAGATCCAACTGCTTACAAGGAGCATGTGATTGCCACTGGATTGCCTGCATCACCAGGAGCTGCAGTGGGTCAGGTAGTGTTCAGTGCTGATGATGCTGAAGCATGGCATGCACAAGGAATGGCAGTTATCTTGGTATGAACCTTGATCCTAGCAGTGTCATCTTAGCTTCTTCTCAGTGGTTTGTCATGCTTGTTTCTTAACTATAGAAAGGAATGTAACATATCGGATGGTGTTGATTAAATGATGGTGATGTTTGTGGTTAGAAGTACTTTCTAAGGGGGACCCATCACCACCTGAAATTGTCCATTTGAATTAATAATTACCTTTTATTTCTCTACTTGGAAAAGTTGCCATCTTAATTTCACAAAGCTATATATCTTTATTTTACACCTACTTTTATTCAGAAAATGATATTGGCTTGAGGAAATTTCTGAATAATCATCTCAAATTTCTTCATCCATGAGTTCTTGTAATGCCTGCCATCATGTAGGTCAATTGTCTATTTCCGGTTTATAATTGGAATAATGTCCATAAAATTGAGTGGGTTGCTTGTGGATGAAGGTTCGGACAGAGACCAGCCCAGAGGATGTTGGGGGGATGCATGCAGCCACTGGTATCTTGACAGCTAGAGGTGGCATGACCTCCCATGCAGCTGTTGTAGCTCGTGGATGGGGAAAATGCTGTGTCTCAGGCTGCTCTGATATTAGAGTGAATGACAGTGAGAAGGTGAAATAAATGCTTTTTTATTACGAACTGAGTAACTGATGTTAAGTACATAACAGCGCACTACTTATACATCAATTGTATTATTCATAAAGCAGGTGGTTTTAGTTGGAGATAAGGTTATTAAGGAAGGGGAATGGATATCACTTAATGGGTCTACAGGAGAAGTGATATTGGGGAAACAACCACTCTCTCCACCAGCCATCAGTGGTGATTTGCAGACATTCATGTCTTGGGTTGATGAAATGCGGCGTATAAAGGTAAAGTTTCAATGCCAATTTATACACGTATATGCATTAATGCACCAGGTTTTGATCTTATCAAACTTACATTTCAAATGAAGGGATTGAATTGTGCTTGTATGTATGTTTGGGAACTCCAGCTAATGTATGAGGAATATGGTGCTTTGGTAGGTTATGGCAAATGCAGACACACCTGATGATGCACAAACTGCAAGAAACAATGGTGCAGAAGGGATTGGACTTTGTAGGACGGAGCACATGGTAGATGATGAATTTTTGTACTTTTTTTTTCTTTCTAGAACTCTAAATTTTATGACAACATTGTTCTCATATCAACAGGAAAGTTGGTATTGTTCGGCCCTCTTAGGGAGAGATTTAGGAATTGAAACCCCTCCCAGGATGTGCTGCCCCAGTAGGTAGACACACCTGTACACCTATTATAATTATAGAATGCTTGCCAACTCCCCCCACCAAATAAAGCTAAAAAAAGTAGGAAACTGGTTCTTGAGATTGTTGGTTCATTTTGATTTCTAAATACTACGAGAACATTCCTTTTAATACTTGTAGGAAGATAGAACGTTAAAAAGTGCAAAAATTAATTTTCTCATGGAAAGTTGTGAGTGTATTTACTACTGCAAGACTAATCAAAATTTTTGTTCCTCGTAAGAAAGTAAACAACTTAAGAAATGTAGTCTCATGTGTATGCTTTGTCCTCAATTTAAAACAATGCAAATAAATTTTGTAGCTCAATTAAGAAATCTTACATTTTATTTGATACATTTACCTTGAATAACTGTTGAGTTCTGTTTTTTGTATGTCAGTTCTTTGCATCAGATGAGAGGATAAAGGCCGTGAGACAGATGATAATGGCAGCAACGCCTGAACAAAGAAAAGCAGCACTAGATTTGCTTTTGCCTTATCAAAAATCTGACTTTGAAGGCATTTTCCGTGCAATGGATGGTAAATTTTTTCTTTCCTCTATGAAACTATGTTAAGGGAAATTTGTAAGATCTTTTCCTTGTGGACCACTGGATGAGGTACTTACCTGCCCAATCACAACAAATTGCTCTAAATAGAAGATATCCTACATAAAATGCATTCTCAAAATGATGATCCAAACAGTCAAGTAGGTTTAACCCCTCCATTCTTCAGACAGTCAATAAACACATTGGAGACCTAAATTTAATTCTATGGGAATGGAGCTTCTCATGATCCCTACTTAGTATGCTTGAATGTCTTAGATCCTTCACGCACCAGTCCACTAACAGACATGGTACTGCATGTGTAACCCTTGCCTTTCTGTTATTGTATGCTGATTTATGTGGTGCATCTTGATGTCTTTGGTTCTGTTTGTTTAAATGTAAATGTGATGGAAAAGCATACATTATGAAATACTTGAAATAAGTAATTTAGTTTTTCATTCTGTAATGTTGTCTTCCCACCATATACAGTGTGGTAGTTTTCTTATTACAGTTCCTTGAACATTTCCCTGCTTTTTTTTGTGCGGCATTTTTAGTTTACATGACACCAGATATTGGTATTACAGGTCTTCCTGTGACAATCAGATTATTAGATCCTCCACTCCATGAATTTCTTCCAGAAGGTGACATAGAAAATATTGTCACTGAACTAATATCTGACACCGGCATGACTGAGGATGAGGTTTTCTCAAGAGTTGAGAAACTTTCAGAAGTAAATCCCATGCTTGGCTTCCGTGGCTGCAGGTTTGATTTCTTACCGAGTTTTGCTTCAACTCAAGTCCTCTTTGGTTTTTCCTCGCTCATCTAAAGCCTTCAATTTGCAACAAATTATTCATACCTATTTGCACATTCATTTCTCATACATGCACATGCCTAAACCATATTAGTTGGCTCTCCCACGTTTTCTTACCAATTGCAGCTATTCCTAAGTTCCTATGAATGTGCTCATTTCTAATTCTTTTCATTTTTAGTGTTACCACTAATCTCATCTATGCTCAACTTATGGGAACATGTTTTTTGGTTATCCAATATTTTAATCCATACACCATTATGGATCTTATAGTCATATTATAAAGCAATCATTTTATTGCGGTTGCCAATATCAATCATGGGCAGCCCAGTGCACAAGGCTCCCATCAATGTGGGGTCTGGGGAGGGGCAGATGTATGCCTCCATTTCATCCAACCCACTCTAATGCTAAGGAACTGTCTCCTTGTAGTAACAAATATAATTGCTTCAGAATACCTCTCAGTCATCAATTTTGGTTGCAACCCTAAAGTGCTCTAGGTTTTACTAAAACTGCAATGCATATACTTATTTAGAGGACCTCTACATTTAGTTTGATTTACCTTAAAAATTAAAATCATCAATTCTAGTTTGATTTATCTTAAAATCTGCTTATTTAGCGGACCTCTACATAGTTCAGATTTTCATTTACCTGTCTGTATCTACGTTAATCCATCAATAGCATATCGCCTAGAAATTATAATTTCTCAAGCTTGGGTAAACAATTGTCAGGTTGACAGTTGACATGAACACTTTTCCCAAACCCATGTGAATATGAACCTTTATTTTAAGAAATGAAAAGGTTCCCCCTGTTTTCTTCATCTGTGCTAATACTCCAATCTATTTGGGCATGGACATCCTAGCCGGCTGATCACATTGTCTAGCATGATGCGCTTGTGCACACTGTGGCATGCAACTAGAGTATGACTAATAGAGAAAGGAGAAGTGAGGAGATACACTGTTTATTTTATTTGAGGGTTTTTTGGACATATGGTCCTATGTTTTGGTCAACTTTATTTATGATTTTTTGTTATTAAATTTTTATTTATATATCTATAGAATTAGTTATTTACTTTTGTATTATTACTATAAGAAAAAGCCTCAAAAGTCGATACTTGTTTGCATCAAGTGTGATGCAAATGACTTAAAAATATAAAGGAAAACAAATATAAAATTTGAAAAACCTAGGGGGATAAATGCAAATCTGCTAAAAGACAGGGTTGCAGGTACAACAAAATGTAAACTCACTGAACTAAATCTTCCAGCAAATTCACTTCATGTAGTTCAACTGGGATGAATGCCCTTTGTTAACGTGCAAGCTCGCATGTGTTCAAATTGATAATGTGCAATTAGATCCTTAACAGAACTTTAGAAGTACATAAAAGGATCTCAAAAGTATTCATTTGTGAACTTATTTTCTCTTGATCATGTGTCACCAGGCTTGGAATCTCGTACCCGGAACTAACTGAAATGCAGGCGAATGCCATCTTTCAGGCTGCCATGTCTATGAGCAACCAGGGTGTTAAAGTTTACCCTGAAATAATGGTTCCCCTTGTTGGAACACCTCAGGCATGAATTTTATTTCTTTTGTTTACTTGCCTTTCATTTTGTCCCCCAACCTCATGAGAGCATTCGATAAATCTAATTTATCAACCCTGAGTCCTCAAGCAGCCTCAAGTTTCCAAAGACATGAGATAGGCTTTTTACTATTTAGGAAGGTAATCAAAATTCTGTTTTGAATACTGAAAATTTTGAGTGGCAGGAATTGGGACACCAAATCCATTTAATACGGAATGTCGCAAAGAAAGTGTTCTCTGAGATGGGCAGCACCATAAGCTATAAGGTCGGGACAATGATTGAGATTCCTAGAGCTGCTCTAATTGCAGATGAGGTGTGTTGAAATAACAGAACTCCATTTATTGTTTTCACAAGCATATTCTATTACATTTTTCACTAATCCCACTTTGAAAATGTCTATTTATATATTCTCTGGATAGGCTAGCATACAAAATTTTGATTTCAAAGTTACCTAACAAGTGAACCTTTCTAACCTTCATATGTTGTACCTTTCTATTCTCAATATCAAGGGAGATGAAAAGGCAACTTTATTTTATTTTTTTCAGATTTATCCATTTACTTTTTCTAATTTCATGAATGACTTGCACTTATAGATTGCAAAGGAAGCAGAGTTCTTCTCATTTGGGACGAATGACCTCACACAAATGACATTTGGTTATAGTAGAGATGATGTTGGCAAGTTTCTTCCCATATATCTATCCAAGGGCATCCTACAGCATGATCCTTTCGAGGTAGAGTACATGAATGTTGTAAACTTTTACTGTGATCTCTGTAATCCACTCAAATTTGGTTGAAGCCACAGTTTTAAAGCCAATAGATCAAGACATGCTTAGTTTTCAGTTGGGATTGCTAGAGACACTTCTGCAGACCAAAAGATGTGCATACTGTCATGCAATGAAGTTTGCCTATACCTCATATGAGTTGCAATTCTGGGTTGCAGGGCCAAGCCCAATTCAAAGGGATGAAACAATTAAGTTCACGCTCACCGGATCTATCCTTTAGAATTGCACCTCAACTCTTCAATTTTGGGAACTAAGCATACAATGAAAAGAAAATTCTACCTACTGGGGAGTTGTGGTGAAAGGCTAATTTCTGCATTCCTTTTTTCATTCAAATTATCCTACAAAATATAACAAGGAACTCCAAAATATAATGAGACTACTAAATGGTCTAATATACAACAATGTTCGTGATTTAATGGGTTTGGGGTTTCAGGTACTTGATCGGAAAGGTGTAGGCCAACTTGTCAAGATTGCCACAGAAAAAGGACGATCAACAAGGCCCAGCTTGAAGGTCAGTAGTAGATCTTGACCTGTAAATATTGAATTAGATCGCTTACTTTAGCTATTATGGGATTTTTCCTCTGTCCATGGTTGAAATCTAGCCCCGTAAATCAACATTCTTACCATAATGGTGTTTGGAATTCTGCAATCTTAAAATGCAACTTTTGCCATCAACACACTCAAATCCAATAACATGGAATGCCTCTTCTAATTTGAAGAAGTCAATAAATACACAGTTTAGATTCTGTGTGAGTTAGTGGGAATAAGCATCTTCAGGTCCAATAAAAAGAATCATCCATAAACTTGACATGATCAAATGAGTGTACTCACCTGACTTGCGCCTAGTTGGGTCAAAGTCATTCTGTGTCATACTCGGATCATCTTTGAGACATCTCTGTGCAAGGTTGCCACATGAACAACTAAACCAATTTCTGCAGCACATTATGTATGATCTCAATACGCAGTTTTTTTTTCTTTTTTTTCATACGGATTTAATTACATTGTTTGACAATGCCGATAAACAGGTTGGTATATGTGGAGAACATGGTGGAGAGCCTTCTTCTGTAGCATTCTTTGCAGAAGTTGGACTTGACTACGTCTCATGTTCTCCATTCAGGTATGCAACGATTGGTTGATAAGAGTTAATTTTTGTTTTGTCCATCCAGTCCAGCCATAACCACCCATGATTGGTTCTGATATCAAATTTTCTGCTCTAATTTTGGTTTCTGAAATCTGATGACAGGGTTCCAATCGCTAGGTTAGCAGCGGCTCAAGTGGCTGTTTGACATCAGTTGATGACATAAATTAAGGAGAGCAACCGCTTATCCCTTTAGGTGACTTATGCAGTATTTGTAAAAAGAAAAAAAACCAAAAAAAATTGGGTTTGCTCTCTTAGGTTTTAGCAATCAAGGTTTGATTAGGAAAAACAGAAAGCAGCTCAATCGATATACCTTTCTGTCATTTACTGACTCTCGGGTAAAGAAGAAAGAAGGTTAGCAACCTCCCAAAAGCTGGCACCACCACCGCCACTGCCACGGCTGAAGTACGCTCGGATGCATTCCTCCAGAAAGTGTTGAAACAAAGGAGCTGGTGGGAGGCGACTTAAAAGTGAAAACGCAATAGACTACTGGCATTAATTTAGGAGATGTTTGGGATCGATGCTCATTGCTTTATTAGATTTTTTAAAAACCACTGATTTATTCATCATATTATATCAGAAATAAGAGCAATTATGTTTGGTAGTAAGCATCAGTATTCAGTAGTAATTTGTGTTTATGTATGGCCCCTATCTGCCACGTCATTCAAAAATGGGAAAATTTCCGATAGGTGTCCTGTACTTAGGCCGAGTGCTAATTTAGTATCTGAATTTTAAAATGCAACAATTTTGTTCTCGAACTTTCTTTTTGTGACAATTTAATACCTATGTTAATAGATCGTCAATTATGTATACTACGTGATTCTATATGGATTTAAGACTTTTTAAAATATCAAAATTACCCTTAGATATTGATCATCATTTTTTATCTAACTATTTTTGGTCACGTACTATTTTTTGGGATGTGTAAAATTTTTTGGCTAAGTACCTCGTGTTTGACCTGGTGGTGACGTGCCTTGGTGATGAGCTACTTGGTGGCGA